CAATCTGTGACTCTACTGTACAATGTGTATTTCGTTTCATTAACAGCTGCACTCTGCCTTAGCTCACTGCCTAAATATACTGTATTTGAATATACACTATTTACACTATATGCAGATAAATATGAATAGTACGAAAATATTACAGTATAATGTATACAAGACATACAACACTATATACAAATGGGAAGGCGTGCGCACATACACAGCCATTATGCTTAACACTGTGGCTTCCACCCACCACTTGCAGGGCATGAACTGCGCACAGTTGCCCGCGAGGCTTTGTTTTTTTCTCGAGTGAAGAAATGTAATCTACATCTCAAAAAAAAAGTGCACAACCTCAGCTGTTGTCCCTAAAAAGTGCAACAGACAACCTACACTTGCTGACGCTGTGCGGCTGTCGAGCAAAATGCCCTCAACAATCCTCGCGTACACGTCACCGCATGCAATGTTTTGCACCGTGTACGTCTCTACATGTTCTTCAACAATTTTCAGGAGAGCAAGAAGACGGCTGCTTGGTACTTTCAAATAGCCCCTCGATTCTTGGAAAAATTCTTGGAACGGCGTTCGTGCGAAGCCTCGGTCTCTCTCGCTGAAGCGACACGACCACCCCGTTCACGATGTGCTCGTCGGTTCTCACAACGTCGCTAGCATCAAAATGCTTTTCGCACACCCGAAAGTTCTTACTTTCGAAGCTGAAACCGCCAGTTTCAAACCGCGGTATAGCTCGCTTCCATTTCTCTCGGAGTTCGGCGCTACTTGGGAAACAGAAGAGCGACGCCTTTTCTTTGTTGCTTCGGTATCCGGAGCTGCAACCCGTCACACAGCACGTCTTAGGCATTGTTCATTCGAATTTTTCCTGCCGTCCACCTTGAGCACGGTGCACTGGCACATGAAGTTCGCGTTTCGCTGATGCAGAAACCGCGAGCTGCCACCACACAACGCCTTCGGGATGCCGCCGCGGCCAGTGCGTTCCGCCGGGCGCAGCGTGGCGATGGCCCCCCTAGGACGGCTTGCGCCGCGTAGCGGCCGCTCTTGGCACCATATCAAGCTCTCCCATAGAGTGACGGAGAAGTTTCGTGACCAGAACGGTATTAAGGGACTGTGATAATACTTTAATTTGGTTTTAAAGTAAGGGTGCACGCTCTTTCGACTATTCAGGTGCAATTGACATTTTCTGTGGTTCCATGTAGACCGAGACTTCTCTTGTGACGTTGCAAAGGTCAACATCGGCGGGGCGCGCACAATGCCTCGACTAACACCAGGCGAGGAATATTGCTCGTCACCCCTCTCGCTCTGTTCTCGGGCTGCTCTCAAGGTGTTAGGCTGCTTACGCCAAGAATGCTTTTCTTTTTTTCTGGGAGGACAAGCTCAAAGCACCCAGATCGTTTCATTCTTCACCGCATGCAGTTCCACCTATTTGAAAACAGCGCATTTCAGCGTCACCAAAGATTGAGTGCACTGTCTCAGACACTGCTCCGCTGTGGGGTGATGGTGGAAATTTGGAACTGACGTAATATCCTTTTGAATTAATGTCGCCAGCATTAATTAAATGGTATGTTAGGAAATTTGCGACATAATTTCGGCATTACCTGACGCAGGGCTACAAATTACTGTAAAAAATTCGCAAACAAAACTTTTGCTGTCAGGAGTTTTTTTTTTTTTTTTAAATGCAGCTTTTCCACAATCCTAGAATGTGATGAGGTGAAGCATACTTAAAATCTAAAGGGAAAACTGCCAATTTGATGTTGACTGTGTTGTTCAGTTCTATCATAATGAAGCCTGAAGGCTTGCTCACACCTAAGGCGAGGCAGCCAAAGCGGCTAGGCGGCAAAGCGGAAAGCAAGAAAAGCCTTCTCTCCAGATGGCCACAGCGGGTGGAAAATGGGGTGGAGAGTGCGATTGCTTCCGGAGCAATTTTTTGCTGCCCGCCAAAGCTCGCCACTTTGCCACAGCCAATCAGAGTTCTACACAGTGGAGGCGGGGTGGTGTCGCACATGTATATTAGAGAAAAGCAATGCCACATGATAGCGACACATGCACACAAGCGCAAGATGGCCACCCCTTCTGCCGCACAGCCAGCCAAAAGAGGTGTGTCGTCCGAACAGATGCACGCACTTTCTGCCTCAACACTTCGAAAAGCCCACTCCCCCTTTTTGCCATGCCACCTCCAGTGTGAACGAGCCTTGAAAGGCAGCTTTGCTCCAATATTTGAATGTAATGAGGTGAAGCATACTGAAAAACTGAAGCGGTCACTTTTAATTTGACGACTGTATTTGTCTTCGGGGAAGCTCGAATAGCCAAATTCCAGTGCGAATCGAATTACAGAGACTATTAAAATATTTAAAATTTCGAGTATTTCCACACTACTATTCTATTCAACACTTTTTGAAACCCCTATTTAACATTTTCCACAAGAGAGCCAACATGTGGGAGAAACCTTCAGAATCTTCCTCACCTCGACGTCATGCATTTGCAGCAACTCTTTGAGTCCATCTTTTCTATTCGTACTTTTTTCTAGGTAAAAAAATAGCAATCAGTCTCATTAACCTTTACAGGACGACATGACACTCCTTTTTGAGCAGTCAAGTTGATCAAATGGCAAGGACAACTACACCCCCATTAAAGCAGGTTGAGCTTCTCTCGACACCATTGGCAAGCTGTTCTTCTTTACAACCATAACATTGGCATTGTCTCAAGACATGGCCTACAAGTTCTTGATAGGTAAATTTTGGGACCTCATCGCATCCAAACTTAGATGCCCAATGTTTTGAGAAATCGTTTCGCCTAGAATTGTGCCAAAACAGGCACAACCCTGTTCTCATTGACAAAATATGTCGCAACAATGGAGTACAGCTGCATATCTCTATTATTGCTGCCATCCACAGGGATTTAAAGTATATTTACTGTTAATGGTGCATTCAGACAACGAAACCAATCCAGATTTGGAGGTGCGGACACACATGACCTTCCATTTGATATCGTTCTCCTACGTGCCTCGTCCTCATGGCTCGCGGACCGATTTGCCCAACCTGTTTTTCACATCAGGTTTCTTGCGGCGGAAAGCCGCAGCTTCAGCAGGCACACAAGCTAGCAAGCAGTACACTTTTCTTGTGCTCAAGCTATATGGCTGTCCTCGAGGTTGATTTCAGCTATGCTGGTGCTTTGTTCAAGTTATTTCTGGGGCAGTATTCTATGATCTCGTTTGAGATATCTATCACTTTAAATGCACGCTTATGGGCAGATTGGAAGGTAAGTTGCGGCTTTAACCAATGGGCATGCAAGATTCCATGAAAGGCAAAGCGGCGATGTCGGCACATGTTTTTGAACACTGATTTTAAGGTCAAGATGTGAATTAACGGAAGGCAACATATTGTGCAACAAACAGTGCAATGTCCACTGTCACTACCAGTTATCCATAAAAGATAAAAAGAGTGCCGACATCAGCACATCACTGTATCCTCCCTTTGTATGCGGCGCCCCATGCACAGCAGCAGCGATGTCATTCTTCAACAGAACTCTGCGAAGAAAAATTGTCTTCCCATTTTGCCATTCCGCCAACAAAACTGTTTTCCCCAAAACAAATTACACTTCTCGACAACGCTCTAAACTCGAAAAAGCTCGGTGAGCTTTGCATTCTGTTGGCCTTCATGTTGTTGAATACACTTAAACCGATCTACTGGCAGGTGAGCACAAAGGCTGCAGTCGAGAATAATCTGGCTGTTCTTTTCTGTGACACCATCTGTCGTGCGAATGGGCCTGCAGGTGGATCGTACTCAGTTTCGCAGTCCACATCCATGACAACGAGAATGCAGTCCGTCATCTGAACGTAACATTAAGGGTATACAGCAAAGGAGTCTGTGTTGGCAGCCATGTCCCCATGATTGCCGCTGTCTTTGTCGCCCACAGGCGTAGCATTTCCATGCTCCACACTTGCAAAATATATTTTGGAAAGGTGGCCTAGTGTGATCGCCAACACTACATGCGATCCCATGTTCAACTCAAATGCCATGAACAAACACTCTGCGTGAATAACATTTAAATCACAGTCAATGCACACAATACAATAGACTGTCAGTAAACACAAATCTGTTACACGGAACTACTGCTTGAACAGAACTATTGCCTCTGCAACGATTGGTTTCGGGCTTGTATTCTGCACCCATGTTCACCTCTCAGTAAACAGAACTCCTGTTAAATGGAACATATTTTCCCGGTCCCTTCAGGTTTCATTTACTGAGAGTCTACTGTACTTGCCAGACTTTGCTAGTTGTCTGCGTCTTGCATGTATGCCTAATAATTTTTCAAAGCAATGTGGATCTTGATATTGGACTTGCCACCATGCTAAATCTTCATGTCACTGGCACATATAGTGTAAGAACCAAACTTCTTCCATTTTTTCAGCAACGCAATGCATAGAAACTCTATGTACAATTTCAAGAACACTTCGTAATGTTGTCTTGGCTTTGAGCCTGCCATTGCACTGCGAAGCCACTATGGCTAAAACCCTGCGGTGCCACTGCATTACATGCAGCAGCTGGTAACACGTAAAGCGACACAAACAGTGAAGCACGAACCGACAGCCCATGGAAAAACCACTGCCACATGTTTGTGGAAGCGCTGATGCAGTGTTGATTTGTTGCCGCCCTCAGAAAAGACGACAAAAGTCACTAAATGTTGAAGCGGCTGCTGCTACTGATAATAATTACAAGAGTACATATCCTCTCGTAGCGACAGAAGGTACCACAATGCAGTTTTCGCCAGCATGTTGCCGTAGCTAATAACAGAGGCCACGTTTTAAGGTTTTCAGCTTTATTTTTTGAAAATAAAATATTTCTCCCAAAATTTCTGAAATTGCAGACAAGATGGAAATTTGTACATTTTACAGAAAAATTCAAAACATTTCACAGTATAACTGTGTATGTCCAAATTGTTAACCAGCGACTGCCGTGCTTCAATCAACAGGAGGCAAGCTTGTCTTTTGAAAGGTTCGAGCTACTCACTTTGTCTTCTTAGCCAGTGGTTCTCCATCATTAGACGCCTCTGCAAAAAAAAAAAAAAAAAAAAAGAAAAAAAAGGAAACAGGCATTATTTCTAATTTATTTCACATTATTCGAAAGTCAGCGTTCTTTGGCTGCATGAACTGTTCTACAGTTAACAAATCACTCACAGAAACGTCTGCGACGCCACACAGTTTCCACAGTAAGCCCATTTTTGTGCATGGATTCTCAACTTGAGAGACACGATAAAGTCTGATCTCCACTGTACAACGACACATAAATGAAAGGTGTGGGAATCTAAGGTACGCTGGAGCCATTTCTCTGGTATTTCGCCACTTCGTCGGCCCCCTCCCTTTCACATGCTCTCGTGATGGCACAGTGTCTTTGCACTTGAGATGTAACCAAGCATACCATTTGCAGCCGGTCAACCACAATTATAATTTTGGCAGTTTATAAATGTGCCAAGACATTTGATTGATATATGGGGTTTAACGTCCCAAAACCACTATATGATTATGAGAGACGCCGTAGTGGAGGGCTCCGGAAATTTAGACCACCTGGGGTTCTTTAACGTGCACCTAAATCTGAGCACACGGGCCTACAACATTTCCGCCTCCATCAGAAATGCAGCCGCCGCAGCCGGGATTCGAACCCGCGACCTGCGGGTCAGCAGCCGAGTACCTTAGCCACTAGACCACCACGACGGGGCCATACCCTCATGCATATGTATGTAGGTGGGTGCCTTTAATGCGTGTTCATGCGCAAGAGTACCTATGTGCGTGTCTATTTGTGTTGCGCGTGCATGTATGCGCCTCATGTGCCTGTGTACATGCATATGTATCACATGTGTATGTGCATATGCATTATGTATGTATTATGTATTTGCACCCTGTGAATGTAACTGACAGCGGCGTCAGTACAGAAAGGCATCAGGCCTGCTCATGTCGGCCCCTACATTTTTTCTTGGCTACCTTTTTTGAGCTCACTGATTGACCACAATTATAGAAGAAATTTTCACCTATGCGCTTAATAATTGCAATAGTGACATACCAATAAAATAATAATTGATGGGCTTTAATGTCCTAATACCATGATATGATTAGGACACCGCTGGGCGCCAACTGGCTGAAGCACACAAGTGTGGATTACTCCATCGTACGTCTGCTATATAGCCACGTTGTACTTTTATGTGCGCATATGCCATGCACGTTTTGAAAGGGTGGTTTGTCCAGTTACTTCAGTGCGAGTGTAACTGCTTGCACGTATGCCTGAAACGACATATGAAGGCATTTGTCCTTTCTTAGCTGCTAATGCATCGTAAAAAGATCGGCGAGTGCAACTTTCCAGAGTGCTGTTTATTGTCATCGTACCCTCCACACACCACACAAACCCAGGGCAAGCATCCCTTTGAGAGGCAGAATGCCCTTTACCCTCTGGTAATGGTAACATTGCATGAGCTTCGTGCACAGATTCAGAAAGAGCGCAGATATTGCTACATGCATGCACATTAATATTCTAGGGGGCGACGCGCGTGGGTGCCTGACGAGGAAAACGAAGGGTTGTCTCCGCTCGATCGCTGGTGAACCGGTCACGCCATTACCGCCGGTTTTAAATACATCTAATCCCCAGCCTCGTCGATACGGCGTCTCTTCTTTTTCGTAACATATTCGGTGGAGGTGGAATGTCCCCCGTCTTTACCACGAAGCTTGGCAGTGGCCGCACCATTCAGTCTCCGGCCATGGCTACCAATGACAACCCGTCAGCATCTCCATCTATAGCTCCAGCCACTACATACCTGACGATGCCCTACCCCCGTGATCCCGGTACATTCTCCGCACAACCTGAGCTTAACAGTGACTACTGACTCCGTATGCACAAGCGTGTTAGCCAGACACCCCAATGGGACCCTACCCTGATGCTCGCCAATGTAATATTTTACTTGGACGGCACCCCACGTGCCTGGTTCGATGCCCATGAGTCCGAGCTCACCAGCTGGGATATCTTCAAGGAGCGACTACGCGACCTTTGCGGACCTGTCCGGTCGCCAAATGGAAGCGCGAAAAGAACTCGCCACTCTTGTGCAGTCCTCAACTGAGTCGTATGCCTCATACATACAGGACGTGCTCGTGTTGTGCCGGAAAGTGGAGGAGCAAATGACAGGGAGTGACAAGGTGGGCCACATACTCAAGGGCATCACGGATGATGCCTTCAACTTGCTCATGTACACTAACATCACGACCGTAGATATTACTCAAGAATGTCGCCGCTTCGAAATGGCCAAAAGCCGCCATGTTCTGCCTCAATTTACGCGGCAACCTGTAGATATTACTCAGGAATGTCGCCGCTTCGAAATGGCCAAAAGCCGCCATGTTCTGCCTCAATTTACGCGGCAACCTAACACGGCTGTTACATAAACCTGCACTGATCTCGGTGCCGCACCATCCATGCAAGAAAGCGTGACACGTATAGTCCGACAGGAGCTTGAGGCGTCAAGTCCGGCACCATTTCTTCCACTTTCACTTGACCATGGCGCCGCACAAATGCCTCCGGCGGTCTCTGTTATTCAAGCCAGTGTGAGGCAGGAAATTGCAAAGCTCAGTTTTCCTGTGGCCTGCTCTGTCTCCCGACCCAACTCCAGACCAATGACAATAAATGCACCATGCCATGACACATCTTTTTCCGCGGTCCCGCAATCGGACAGAATGAAGAACTGCAGACGACAAATCAATCTGCTTCCGCTGCCACCGAGTTGGCCATATCTCTCGCTACTGCCACAGCACTTGGACACCCTCAAACTGGAGCCCATTTTCCTCTTCTCGCCCATACGAGGACTCCCGTCGGTATTCGCCCAGTCGTGTGTACCCTTCTTCTGACGTCGCTCACAGCCACTCCACCGCTTGTTCGTCGTCACCTCAACGCCGCCGTTCCCCATCGCCTCAACCACGCCGCTATCCGTCGCCGGTCAACTATGGATCCTCTCGGACGGAAAGCTAGACCATGCAGCTCCGGGAAATAGTGCTGCATCAATTGCGACTGATCGAAATCCTCGACGCTTCTCACTAATACGAACCAGATTGAGGTGTATGAGGACGGTATTTCTTTGACGGTGTTAGTTGATCCCGGAGCTCAAGTGTCCATAATGAGTGCTCATCTGTGTCGCCTACTCAAAAAAGTCTTCATGTCTGCAGCAACTAAAGCCCTCCATGTCACTGATGGTGGAACTGTGGCCATCACTCGAATGTGTACCGCTCGTGTTAGCATTGCAGGCCGCCATGTTCTCGTTTTATTTACGGTGCTTGAAAATTTCCCTCACGACCTAATATTCGGCATGGACTTCCTATTGACGCATTTTGCCCTGATCGATTGTGCCGCCGGTGCTCTCTGCCTAGAACTTCCTCTTCTCCCGGATTCTCACCCTGAACTCCCAAACAGCCTGTGCAACACTGACTTCTTCCGGATACCACCTAAAGCTCTCACATTCGTTCAATTGGCATCTCTCCCGTGCTCAACTGTGATTATATTGTGACGCCGATTCCTGATCTTCTCCTGGCACGTGACACTACACTCCGTCGTAATCATGGCCTCTGATAATTAATTGATATGTGGGGTTTAATGTCCCAAAACCACCATATGATTATGAGAGACGCCGTAGTGGAGGGCTCCAGAAATTTCGACCACCTGGGGTTCTTTGACGTGCATCCAAATCTGAGCACACAGGCCTACAACATTTCCGCCTCAATCGGAAATGCAGCCGTCGCAGCTGGGATTCAAACCCGCGACCTGCGGGTCAGCAGCCGAGTACTTTAGCCACTAGACCACCGCGGCAGGGCAATATGCAACGCCCCAGCCACATTTGAGCGCATGATGCACTTTCTGCTACAAGTGTTCAAATGGTCAACATGTCTGTTATCTTGACAACGTTGTATACCCCCCAACATTTGAAACCCACCTTCAGCGTTAGTCAGCTATTCTTGACATATTCTGCACTGCAGGCTTTCAATCACACTCGTTGAAGTGCCACTTCGAACGCTGACAAATTTCAGTGTTGGGCCACCTTGTCGACGTCTCTGGTGTGCAGCCGGACCCCAAGAAAATTCGTGCAGCCACCAGTTTTCCTGTACCCCAGTCAGTAAAAGACGTCCGGAGTTTTGTAGGACTTTGTTCCTATTTTAGAAGGTTTGTGAAAGATTTCGCAACCATCGCTCGACTCCTCACTGAGCTTCTAAAGAAAGACGTCACACTTACGTGGGGGTACCGACCAAGCTGCTGCTTTTTCTCCACCTATATTGGCTCGCTTTGACCCATACACCCCGACAGAAGTCCGAACCGATGCTAGTGGTTACGAAATTGGAACCGTCCTAGCTCAACGCCAACGGGGACACAACCGAGTTGTCGCCTATGCTAGCCGCCTCCTCACAGCTGCTCAGCGCAACTATTCCATTACAGAGCGTGAATGTCTTGCTCTTGTTTGGGCAGTCTCAAAGTTCCGCACATATTTATACAGCACAAATTTCTCTGTGATAACTGACCATCATGCGCTATGTTGGCTTACGTCACTGAATCCTACTGGCCGGCTCGGGCGCTGGGTTCTGCGACTGTAAGAGTATACCTACACGGTGACGTACAAGCCCAAGCGCCTACATCAGGACGCAGACTGCCTGTCCCGCTACCCGATTGCCGAGTTGAGCACTCTGACTGACACCGACACCGAGCCTTGCGTCATTTCCCTTTCGCAAATGACATGCATCGGTGACGAGCAGCGCCATGATCCGGCCTTGCATGCCATCATTGAGCGCCTCAATTCACCATCTTCCAATCAGTCCCATCGCTCATTCATGCTCCATGATGCTGTATTATACAGCCAAAATTTCGAGCCACATGGACCGGCCCTGCTGCTTGTCATTCCGAAACACCTTCGCTCGGAAGTTCTACATGAACTTCATGACCTTCCGACTGTTGGTCACCTTGGTGTGTCACGCATTTACGACCGAATACGCCGACGCTTCTACTGGCCAGGGCTTGCACGCTCAGTCAGAAGATACG